CTTTAGATGCGTACGTTAAAAGGTTTTTTTTTTTTTTCGTAGTCTTTAAATAAAGGTAAAAAGTCCCGGATTGAAATACTCCTGGAGCTCTTCAATCTTAATAATACTCGTCTGATTCTCTACCCGTGAACCGAAAAAGTCTGAGGCCATTATTTTTTCACGTTGTGCTGCACACACATATATGCACACATATTTGGTCTGTATTTTTCTCTGGAGATTTGAAAAGTTCGTACGCGTTTTCCGTTCGAATATATTCGTAACTTGTGCAAGACCCTCGCTCGACATGGAGAAGAGGTCGGAGAACACAGAGGTCAGATTCTGTCCCTTCGATGATGGTGTCGGGCTGCCCAATCCCCGAGCGTCGATGTGTGTCGATCAATTGTTCGATCATATCGAGCGTTGCTTAGCGATAATCGTTATAGCTACCGACAGCTCTCTAACGCCTATCGTTATTACTATCATTATTATTACTATTTTCATTATTATTATTACTTACTATTATTAATATTATTATATTATAATCATTAACGTTATTACTAATCATTTGTTTAGCGTTAATAAATATAATTTATTAAATATAGGAACCATGTTTCTGGGTCTTGCTTGCTTGTTCGTGCACGCGAATCGTGTCGACGACGGATACCGTCTTATATACCGTCGTTATCCCTTTCGTCCGCCATTTCGTTACGTTTTTCTTTTTTTTCTTTTCTTTGTCAAATTACAAGAAACAATAGATTTTAATAGGAACGTTAAAAAACGTGCCGAGCCCAATGTTAGTTCGCGCGTGTTGTGTGTATATATGTGAGTATGTGTGAGTGAGAAAGTGGCAGAGAACAGTATACGTGTGTGTATGTATATACATTTCTTGAACTTTTACTTCAAAATCTTTCCGATAATGTTTTCTTCTCTTACTTTTTCTCAAGATCGTCGTTAAAGTCGCTCAACGATTTGCGAAAACAGGTATACATACACGCCCGCACACAAATGCGCACATATATACACGTTTGTGAAAAGCTACACGCGCGTCAAACGAGAGAATGATAGAGAGAGACTGTCTGATATCTATGCATGGTGGGTATTGTGTGCATGTATATATATATATATAAATATATATATAAAATGTACGTGTATGTGTAATGCGTGTAGTGTGTGTATATATTTATATATATATATATATGAATATGTACGTACGTGTTCGTAACAATGGCGGTCGTTTTTTTAGTTTCGCGCATCGCGCACCATCTCTACCCTACTGCGCCGCATCTTGACACAGCGTTCGCTTCTTACTCTTCTTACTTCTCTTTTCTTTTTTTCTTAGTTAACTCTGTTTTTTTTTTAAATCTTTATTATTACTTTACATAGGAACGTTTAAGTTAGCCCACCTCGACGTCGCGCGTTGTTCGCGTCGCACGACGCACTCTTTTTATCTCTTCCCTCCGGAACTCACTCCGTACTCTCCTCTCCTGGTAAATGTAACCGCGCGCATCGTTTCGAGACGTGTGCCCGGCATCGCGACTCGATCCGCTCGAGCTGCCGACTGTTTTCGCGACCGGCCGTTGGGCTCGCCAACAGATTAGGATTTTCGCGATCGCGCTCGTACGATCGTTCCTCGGGCGATTTCGCCTAGACACCCGTGCCTTCGCCGAGTCCTTTTACACTTCTTTCTTCTTCTCTTCACCTTCATTATTTATCTTAATTTTTCTTTCTTTCTTTCGTGTGCTACGAGAGGAACTTTGGAGAGCGCGCGGCTTCATGGCGCGCGTTGCGCGGAATTTGCATTACAAAAATAATAGGCGAATCGGTGGCGGAAGCCAAGAGGCGAGGAGGGGCGGGATGTGTGGATGGCAGGGCACGTGATTATACAGTGACGGTGCACAAACAACAAAATTAAGAGAGAAAGGAGATCGACGATCGTCGCGCGCTCCGATGATCGTTAAAATGATGTGTGTGCTTCCCCCCTCCTGCTCCCTTGCTACCGCCATAGGGCAGATGCCCCCGACGGGATGCTCCACCGGAAGTATGTGCTCCCGTGTTGCTCGTTCATCGCCGGTTAGGAACATTGGTTCGTCCACTGTGACGTCCTCGAGTTTTCATCTCCGAGCGACGTCCATTGGTTTTTCATCCCCTTCCGCCTTTTTTATCGGTAGAGTCTCGGCTCGCCTCTTCCCCCATTGTTCTCCGGTGCCTTTACGTATATCTTTTCCCATCTCTAGGAGAGATGCCTGACGACCAGCCTCCGTGCGCGATCCGGCGGCAGCGTTTAACGCGCTCCGGCAAGCGCGGCGACCTCCTGCACCAGCTTCTGCCGTTTGGCGTCGGGTCCGTTGTTGTTGTCCTGGCCGGCCCTCTCTTGGCTGGCCTCGCGTGGCTGACCGGTCGTGCTTTCGGCGGCTGCACGCGCCGCCAGTAGAGTGATCTGGTTGACGACGTCCTCCATCTCGTCGGTGAGCGGGTTCGTTTCTTCGCCCGACTGCGCGCCGCCCTCGAACTGCTGTTGCTGCTGCTGGTGCTGTTGGCGCTCCTGAGCGGCCTCGAGACGCGCACGGTGCTGCAACGTCTCGGCGTGGCGACGCCATTCGCTCACGGTGCCGTAAGTGCGCGCCGGCACGCCGGGCTCGCACAACGAGCAGGCGTAGCGCGCCTGTATGAGGCGCAGAGCGCCGCGACGCTGCTGATGGCCCAGGTAACAGGAGCGCTGGTGCGCCAGCAACGTCGACTCCTGCGGATACGCGCGGCCGCAGCGCCGGCACACGAGGCACAGCTCGCTCTCCACCTCGCGACAATGCTGCGGCGGCGATGCGCTCTCATCGGCGCCGCCGCATCCCGCTGTCGGCAGGCGCACCGTTTCCAGCCCCGGATGATTCGGGTCCTGCTCCAGGAATGCATGCATTAAGGCGCGCGGTACCTGTACCTGCGTGCCGCCCTCCACGTGCAGTGACATCAGACCGCCCCCGAGTAGACCGCCGCTCAAGCCCGCAGCCGCTACTGAAACCAAATCGTGATCGATTCTCATTAGAATGGAGCGCAGAACTCGTGAAAGTTTTTAAGGCCAGCTTTCTTCAGCCTTGATCGCTGCGTCAGTTTCGCAAGTCGCGCAAAAATCATTAGGTTGTTTACCTTTTAAACTAAATGTGCGCAACTCTTTCGCAGCAATCTGCCGAACATTGAGTTCCTTTAGCTTTCGAAATCAATTTGCAATGATGCAAATGTCAATTTCGTAAAATATTGCATCTCGTTCGCTTTACACACAAATGTTCGATAATTATCTGCGATTGTAATGTTTTTGCAAAACTACCAAAGCACTGCAATTTGTGTGATTTAAACATTTTCGTAAAACGTAAGCGAAATGCAAATGCTGTATTTGGAAAGTAATCTCACTACGACGGAGAAAGGAACAAGTGTCAGCTCTGTAAAATATTACATCTGAGTGGTTTTGTATATAAATATCCGAGAGATATCTCTAACTAGAAATAGCATTCCAGAAATTATCTGACTTTTGCAAGGGAAGGAATGGCAGAAGGCTGGATGGCATATTCGTGCGTAATTGATTTGTGCCAACTTAGTTGTCATAATAGCATCCCCGTGGTAACCGGGGGAGAATTTATGCGGAACCTGTTTTTGCCCGAGCGAGACAGGTAAATTGGTAGTTATTAGCTGGCCCGCGGGCCGATGCGCATTGACGGGATAATTCCTGCGGCCGTCTCGAGGAGTCGATAATCCGAGATTCGTGTATCAGACGGCTGTGCGCGCGTGTGTGCGCGGTGCCTCGACGAATGATTAATTCTAATTTCAAGATCACGCGCCGCAGGGACGGAGTTGTTCTCGTTTTTTTTTCTTTTTTTTCTCTTTTTTCGCTATTCGTGGAAACATCAAAGTGAACGCGATTGAAAGTGTGGAACGCTTCGTCATCGAACTAGTTCGGCCGCCGATCTGATCGAACCTGCGATGCGATCCGCGCGCGATCGCGAGGAGCGCGTCATCCTCTGACGTCGATTAGGCGGGTTGACAGGTTTACGCAGTGACGCGCACGGCTGTATCGCGCGTATCGTGTATCAGATGAGGAGTCGTTACGTGGCAGGAAGTGTTAATGATATCCCTGCTCATTCGCTGGACGCTCGGCTGTAATTATCAGAGCTGGTGGGGCAGCGAGGAGGACGAGGCGAGCGGCGGATGGAGAGCTTTCTCTCTTTCTCTCTCTCCCTCTTTCTCTCTCTCTTGTTCCTCCGCTCTTCAACGTCGGTGTGGAATTGATAGCTATTAGACCGCTGGATCGGAGTGGCGGAATCCCGTTCGCGCTCGTTCCGTTCTCTCTTTGTGTTTAATGAGAACCACTGATACACGTACGACAATCTACTGCTTGACTAACATCTCTCCATCTTTCTCTTTCTCTTTCAGTCCCTCTTGATTCACACCTTCGCTCTCGAGTATCGCGCGTTCGCGTGGATTATGGTTTACCCCGATCGGACGAGCAAATAATCCGTGTTTTTATGTTCCATCGAAAGGGAGGGTCCTCTTCTCGGAACAAGAAAGCACGGCCATGCAGTAAAGAAGAGAAAAGTGTTACGGATAAATGGGGGATTAGCGCAACAACATTGGCCACAGTATAGTTCTGGTCGTTCTCTTCTACTCTTCTTACGGCTGCGTGAGCGTTCACGGAATTATGGCAAATTCATTATCGGAGAACCTCGCGGAGACTCGTCGTCCGCGATATCGGAGGCAAGAAGTTTGCTCTTCTTATTTCATATAATCGGCTGAATAATGACTCGAGCGCGCTCGTACCGCGAATGGAGAACGTGTGTTACGTGACGGACGATGGACGTTATTTATGAATTGAAATATCACAACGCGTTCCACGGGAAGGCAAAAATCATAAGCTATTGCTTGAATTTGAATTAATTTACGCGTAAATAAATGCAAGGCTATTTCTATTTATGGGACTTGCTCGGTAAATGTTTCATAAAATCCTGAAGCTTTCGAAAAGATGCTGACCCTGCTGCATTCATTATTAATTATAAGGGAATCTTTACATATCCTCTCTTTGTTAATTAAAAATTAATAAATTTTTCGTGAAAGCTTTACACGCATGCACGTATTTAAATATATTTATTTTGAAACGCAGTGATGCTTAATCCTACGAGTCTCAGGATTGATGAACGAGTTTTACGGCTGACAAACAATGGCGTTTTTATTGTTTTGATCTCGTTGAGCTTCGTGTGGTGTAACTCGGCCAAAGGAAACGCGAGTTATTCAACGCTGTATCTCTTTAGCCGATAGACCTCTTCCTTTCAAGATCATTAATGCTCCTCGCGTGTGTGAGTTGGAACGAAGATATATAATATAATAAGGAAGATCGTTAAATAACGCGCAACGCGTCGCAGCCGGGACGATGCGTATGACACCCTTGAAACAATCGAAGCGGTCGAGGAGAGGGATTATTACTCTTAATGAGCACTGGTTATTTCTTTGAGTGGCTTTGATTCGCCCTCCCTGCCGTCCTCCGGTATCTCCTTCTCCTCGGCACAGTCAACAGCCTACGTTCTGTCTGCGTGCGCGTACGCATGTGCGTACGTCATGCGTGCAAACGCAAAGACGAAAACACGCGCGCGCGCACACACACACACACACACTCGCGATCCGTACGCGCATCACTTTCGTCTCGGAGGGTCTCATTTGCGTACGGATTGAGATAGTAGTACTCCATCGTGCGCGCGCGCGCGCGCGTGATGTGTATTTTTGTTTAAATGTGTAACGCAACGTAGACGCGCGCCCGCGCGAGATTCTGATTACCGGCCGCTCCCAACTCCCCAGTGATCATCATCGCGACGGGCTCTCATTATCTAATTTCAACATGCCACTATTGCTTTAATCCTTTGCGTTGGAAATTATTCTGACCATGATACTAATAGAGAGCGCATCTATATAGTATTCGATACGCGCAAACATCTCCCAATTGAAGCAAACTTTATAGACTCTGCAATGATGAGCTGTTATTTGTGTTCTAACCTTTTATTTAAAGACACAATTAATAAGATTTTTACTTACAATCGTACTGTTTTTATTTAGAAAATTTTGTATATAAGAGTAAAATTTGTTTTGAGTATAAAATATCTTCATTAATCTGTTTTGCGTCTTCATATATAGTTTATATATATCTTTCACTATTTATAATCGATTTAATTAAACAATTATGCAATAAATACTGAAATATGTGCTCATCTCGCAATGTAACACATCATTGTATAATAATCGATCATGTTGGAACTTCATAAACTTCTTGACAGAATCTTGGAAAAAATTATTCAACTATGTCATCATGGAAAATATTATTATAATTATTACAGAAAAATGGAACAAATTGAATCAGTTATTAAATTAAAATATGTTACAATATGCAATCAAATATGATGACTCGCAATTTTTTTTAAGTAGCACTAGATATATGCCCAAACTTTTTTGTTGGGCTTTTCAGACTTTTAATGTGTTTTTACGGTTGCCCTATTTAGTTGTTGCCGATGTGAATCTTCGTCCTTCGGATTCTTTATGTGTGAGAACCGCTGACCCTAAGAGTTGCCGCGACACACATGCTGGAAATTTGTTCGGCGGGAATTTACGAGCGAGTTTCCGTGTCAGATCCAATACCGTGTGGACTCCATTGGTAAGTAGACATATATACCGTATATACATGTATATGTAAGTCTGTATATCCTGACAGCCATAAACTGGCGTTCGAGGACCAGCGAACAGAATAATCGAGAATGTCGTTAGTTAGCGCGTTCAGGAATTTTAACGGCTGTTTGGAAGGTGCGTGCGGAAAAACGTAATTCGTCACGCGGGTCGCAGTCACTGTTCGAAATAGCACGTTGTGGAATGACTGTCACTTCGTGACTGTGCGAAGAATTAATCACGTTAGAATTGTCTTATGAACTTGTTGAAAATCTTGGAAGGAAGCTATTAAATTATCTCGTTCATCGAAAATCGTCATTACAATTATTATGCGAATTGCGATACATACGACGAGACGAAAGATAGCAAATTCTGTAACATTTTATTACTAATTATCTGGACAAATATGTGATTTGAGAGTAACGAATGCATCGATGTCCCCAAGAGCGTATTCTTTTATCATTATTTTGTTCACGCTGAAAGGACGCGATAGAGCAAACGAAAGAGAAAGGAAGAATGGGCGAAAGAGAGAGAGAAAGGAATCGTTAAAACTACGATCAAGTGTCGGAATGCATCTTGGCGGCCGATACGATGTGACGGCGGTGATACGCGATGAAACGCGCGATATTTCACGTCGGCTCAGGTAATAAACACGATCGCTTTTCCCACACACGCACCACGGCGATATGCAAATCCCCCCCCCCCCCCCGACTTATTCCGCGCCGAAATTCACTCGCCGCGTTAATCGCCGATTAAACGATGATCCAGATTAACGTGGAATTTTAAACGATTCGCGCGCATATAGCGCTCGATCCATCAAGGTGTGTCGATCTGGGCGAAATCACGCGGAGAATCATCTCGGCCGGGGGAGGGGGGGAGGAGGGAGAAAGGAGGTGGAGGGATTACGAAGGGAGGAAATTTAGTGCCACGGAGAGGATCAGCGAGTCTATAACTGCCCGTTACGCGAAGTATGCACACACAACGGTGCATTCCACGTGTGCTTGCCAGCGCGTTCTCGTGTGGTGACCACCGCACACGTATCTACATAGGGAAACACGTCGTCGTGAACGTAGGCGTGCATTCCTGCCTTCGAATTATCTCCTCCTCGTTCCTTCCCTCCTTCTCTTTCCCCCGTTCGTCCGTTCTCTCTCGCGTTTCCCCGGTGTCCTTCCCTCCTTCTCGCTCACGACTTCCCCTCTTTCTCACGCCCGCTGTACGACGACGTGCGAGAAGGAATCCTCTTCTTCTCTTTTTTTACTCCTCATCCAGACCCGTTATCGGCGGATACCACGGCCCGGAACGGCTGTTTCAC